AAAAACTACATATGCTAATTGTATTGCAAAGCTGTTACAAACATTTTCTATAATAGTGTTACTCTTCATAAACAGAAAAAAAGTCCCTCGCAAACAGATATCTTAAAGGTGTTTCTTTCTCTAATTGATTCGGGCAGAAAGCATTGATAAAATCAAAGGATGTTTAATTCAATGACAAAATCTGGGATTAAAGGAATGATTTCGGCGCACAATGTCTTGTGCAAAGTAGAAATAAAGAGGTGATTTGTATGTTTTATAAAATGGAGCAATTCAGGTAAAACACTGGTCTTGCGTAGGCTTCTTTTTTAAGAGAAAAGATTAACGGAATTGGTTACATGCATCCAAAATGTCTTCAATATCTCGCCGGTTATATTTTTCTTAAGATTGCTTCAATTATCGGCTGTTTGGAGTTGAGAAGTGAAATCATTTCGTAATTCCCTTTATGCTCATGTATGCCTACAGTTGCAATACAATTAAACAAAACTTATGATAAAGCAACAGTTAGATAGTTAAGATTCCCTATACACAATTTTTAAAACAAACTACACGATCATCTTCCTATCAAGATACAAATTTTTACAAAAAGACGAGATGTTGCTATGTGTATGATTTAGACTGGATGGAAAAACCAAAAAATAATAACTGATGTAAAACTGAAAATTAAACGACATAACAATTTACAAGTTGAATGTTAAATGTCTTTACGAGTCCCATTAAGAGCTGGAGATTCTGCACCTGAAGCCGAAACAAATTTCTTTTTATTCTCTAAAAAAGCAGACCTGACCCAATAGCTTTTATCTTTTTCAACGTTCTGAGTTCATCAAGATAAATACAAAAACTGTTTCTTAGAAACTCAAGGTCTTTTTAGAGAAGAATAATTTCAGCTTTTTCGGTAGCATAATTGTATGTCATGACACAAATGTTAGGCTACCTTGATAATGACTCGCTGAAACAGCATATCAACATTTGATTGAAAATTCTACATTGAAACCTCTATTCTTTGTTCGTGCAGGATCCCCCTAGTAATTTACTCATGTTACTCTACTTTTCTACCTGCAAAACTTTCGTTCTGGCGTCAGTTAAAAGTGGTAACAATGTCACCAAGTGCATAGTTCGCAACAATGCTGTGTTAGTAGATAAATCGAATAGCTAGGCTCGAGGTTAACGTTATAAGAAGTGGATGTAATGATATGTCTGTCTCTTTAATGGATAGGTCTTATCTTCAAAGAAGCTCTCTATGTATTTTTAATGCATTTTTATGGAATGGTCGGTAAAGAAGTCAGCGTATGCCTGCCTTGGAAGAACTGGAGAACGATATTTAAATACGAAACAACCCATTTTATAATGGGAACCTTTAGAAAAATGGCCGAGCACTACGCTAATGCATTTTCCGAAAAGGGGAGCCTGGAAAAGCTTTGTTTAGAATTTACCAACACAGGTTAATTCAGATTAAGCTTGTTATGTCCAACATTTACATTATACACAGTAAAAGCCACGCTTTTGAAGTGTCTGTGTACATCATCACGTGAAAGTGGTTGATTTCTTGTTCACTTAGCAACCGTCTAGAGCTCATACTGATTCTTGATAGCCAGGGTTTGTTGGTCCTAGAATGAATGTCATTTGTTAGTCTGAGCTGAAAATTAATTTTGATCAACGTAGGTAAGTGCTTAGAGTGGCTTTGTCACTAACGGTGGTTTACATATTGCTTTTACTGTGCCATTATTCTATTTTACTGTGCCATAGTTTTTCGTTCAACAGTGCTCTTTATTTCATTTTGAAGAAAAGTTCTTAAGATGAAACAAAAATTGTTTCAGTTGGAAAAATCCAGTTGGTCTATCTACAAACTAATCCAGTGAGAATCCACTGGTGACCTTGTTTGCAATTTGGTGCCCTTACCTTGCTTCGAATGTAGCTCAACAGCATTATCATTTGGATCTACAGTCGGATCCATTTTCGTATGTTTTCGGAAAACAAAGTAGTACACCAGACCAGCTGCAATTGCAATCACGAAAAGGACCGCAATCACAATACCAGCAATCGCTCCTCCGGACAAGCCTTTGTCTTCCTTTTTGGGGATAGTCTTTTTGGTTGTGGCGATGGTTGTGGCCGGTGCAGTTGTAGGCGGTCCGGTTGTAGTCGGATATACGATAATGAAACCGGACGTGCTGGCTGTTATGGTCCGATTGTCATATAATTTGATGCTCAGTGAGCCACTCTCAACCAGAGACTAAAAACAAACAAACCAACTTTAGTGACGTTTAAAGACAAGATGCTAATGTAAGGTAGGGAGTCCTAATGTACATACATGGTCACCTAAAATATTCCATACTTTGATATCATGGAAAACCAGTGTATTAGACAGTATATCGTCAAGACGAGACGAGAAAACAGTTTTCTTGACAATCAAAAACCTGCATTCTTCACATTGACCTTACCTTCAAAAGATGCACAGAGGCATTAACCGATGCAAGGGTGGCATTTGATGCCAAGCCAACGATATCGAAACTGATGATTATGCTTCCACAGGTCGCTTGAAAATTCTCCAATGCTCGCTCTTGTACATTCATTTTCTTTGCACACTCAGATTTGACTGACTTTTCAAACTTGTCTTTCGTCGATGAGTTAAAGTAGCTTGAGCATGTGAGAGCAAAGGAGAACCGGCACTTGATTCTTGGTTTTCCCGCTGTCGACTGCGTTGTTGTTGGTGGTGTTGAAGGCGTGGTAGGTGGTACTGTTGTTGCTAAGAAAATAACCAATCAAAGCATGAATATTTGAATAGAGCTTAGGATCGGTTTCATCAATCATAAAAATACACGCGAAACCATTCAAGGTAACTATGACGTCCAAGAAAGGCCTTGCTGGCTACAGTAATCATATCGTCAAGATTGTAAATAGTTCAAATATTTCTGATGAGCAAGCTAGACTTTCATTATTATAAGAGAGAATAGTGGAAAGAAGAACAAATAAACACATACGCAATGGCGGTCCCTCGAATATAGAGACATAGCCAGTTCTGTTGATGGCACATTTGATGTAGCTGGTGCTGCTAACAGTTACTAGAGTCTGTGACACCGTCATTGCATTAGATTCGACCCACGTCTTTGATGTTGGATCCCAAAGTTTGCACTGCAGAACGGCAAAATAAATGTGATTTTATGCATGGATACATCATGTGAGATGAAATATGAAAGCTTAAGAGAACTGATTGTTTTCACAGCGATCTTTTTGCACTTGTTTTGCAAGGCTAAAAACTGCTGTTAAGGTTTTGAGACATCGTAATTGAGATGAGACATTTGAGACATAGGGGGATTGGCAAGCTTAGTGCCAAAGAGTTTGGTGTACAGGCATTGAAGCAAAACTTGAGCCCAGAGCCAGTCCTATATGGGACCAATTCACTAAATTTTATCCCCAAGTGGTGGAGCACAGTCAATCTTTCAAATCTGGTCTGGATTTGTTAATAGCTAATCGAAGTGAATGCCTTACCCAATACATATGATCTAGCTTACATGATGAATGGTTAGAAATACTGTCACAGTAACTTACCACGTATGTAGCCAGTGTTGTAGTCTGGAGAGGCACCTTAACAATCATTGGGTTTGCAAGTGCCGAAGGAGTTAGCTCTTCAGCTGCATACGTTTCGTCAGGATTCCAAAGTTGAATGAGAAGAACAGCACTGAGACGTTTTGAAACAAGAGGAGTTGATAGGTAATCCAGCGGCATCTATGTTGAAAAAATTACACATGAGGATACTAATGAAGGCTAAAAATTGGTATGGTACGTAAGTCAATACACATGGAATTTTCGATGCTACGACAATGATCTAATGAATTGTGCCTCTTTGTTTGTCTTTCCTATCTTGAATCAAACCTGCCATTTTGTCAACAAAAGATTAACTGGTAAGAATTTCTTCCGTTAGGAGACAGTTACGTAAGAATTTATTGCTGTCAATAACAAAGTATAGAGACCTTAACTTCAATTTTAGGTTGACAAACAGCAAAGATGTACACTGAATTTAAAAAAGAAATTTCAAATATTGTTCTTGCTTTCGAAATGAACTGGATTTAGTTCTTGATCAGAAACGAGACTGTAGCCATACAGCTTGCAAGCAAAACTTGATACAATCAATGACACGGAATATTTAATAGATTAATAAAACTATTAAATATTAATGCCTTAAATTGAAAATAAGAATAAAAACTTCAATATATAAATTAATTTGAGCACAACTTCATATCTCTAGTCACTGCTGACAAGAAAATCCTTTAACAAATTTCAACTTTTTATCACCTTAAAATCAAAGGCTAGCAACAGCTGGACTTGCACGATTTGAGTAAAGTTTAATCCGAGTTTTGTAAATGTCAATGAAGAAGTCTGGAATACTCGAGGCCCAAAACGAGGCCGATAATAGAAGAAGCCTCCTATTGAAGAGCACAGAAGTACTAATCATTTTTGCCACAATTCACACGGTTCTTCTTTTCGATATATGTAGTTCAAAAGGACCAAAAGCATTAGATAAGGACACTGTAATCAATTCAGGCTTCGCGCACTAATATAAAGTAGGGGGGCTGAAAAGGGCGTGACCAAAATTTTTTAGGCCACGCCCATTAGAACGCCGGAAAACCCCTATTGTAGAAAATGCTTGCTTCTTTCCACTTATCATTTATAAACAGTCCAATTCAGAGAAGATTTCAATTATTGTAAAAATATATAATTAGCTTGACGATAATTAAACACCAGTGTAACCGAGTTAAAAATTTCAATACATCATTAAACAAGATAAAACGTTCGCTGTCATATTACTGCCGAAATGCTGCATAAAATGCTGACTCTACTAACCTGCGCAGATGCAATGCAAGCTCCTGTGCAGTTCTCACCGTTAGGATTGCAAACAAATGAAGAATATTGGTCAATTAGCGTCTGTCCGAGCTGCAAGTAAGAGGCGTTTTTAATCATATCCGTGCAGTCAGTGCATCCCAGTTGAATCTCACTGTTAACGGTTGAACCGAAATCAACTTTGAAAGTTTGGAGGACGGCAGTCGTAGTTTTGGCCACGGAAGCAGGGACATTGAACAGCGAGTTTCTGCACATGCCTTTGAGGAGGCTGGGCAAGAGGATGAGAAAGTTATTCTTTGCGGTTAGAGTGTCATTGTCTGTTTTATTTGGATCAAGGGTACGGAACGGCTCCAGGTAGGTTTCTGCCTAGGAGAGATTATAAAAATAATTATAAAAGAGACAAATTTGATCAAGCAATCTTTATGAAACAATCTCCTAACACTGACAAATGAAGTTATTAACAGTGACTTTAGATTTTTCTTGCTTTTTGGGAAATTTTTTATGGCAATTTAGCATTGGAAGGAGGGAGTGATATATTTTTCATGAATACTGTTTCACGAATACGTATCACGAATACGTGAATACTGTTGTGAAATGGTAACATTTGTCATTACAGGCTTTCATGAAATAAACACTGATAACCAATTTAAAATGAGTAATTTGAGCATCATATGTAGATAATTCTTTTTGATGTTTTCTGTTTTTTATATTGTCTTTCTTCTTTGTAATTTTCTACATAGTTTCATCGCTTTCTTCAGTGGGACATATGTTTGAAAATAACTTCTGTTTGAAAGAATTCGATGGAAAATTTGGCTAATCTTTGCGGAATGGAAATAAGATATGCAATTCGCAAGCAGTTTTGATTTTGTCATATTATGTTTGTTTGATTATTTAGTACTGGCTAATAGTGCATCACGTATGTTCAAGAGTACAAAGAGGTTATAAAGCTCCTGGGGTAAAAGGGGAACATGCAGATCATCTGCGATCGAAGCGAGCAGAAAATTTTGGCAAACACGCCCTTAGATTAGATTAAAATACACTCAAGAATGATTTCTTGCAATCATCATCTTTCGCTTAAAATAGTATAATGATCAACTCAATTCTTAAAATCGACTTCTTCACTCCTTGAGGTTCCCTACACCTTGAGGCCCTAAGGAATCTGATCCCCTCAGTCCCCTCTTTTTGTGTCCCTGGCTAATAAAGTATGTGAAAAATACAGAAAATTCGCTCTCTTTGACAATAACTTACAGTTTTATCACTACATACTTTATCTCTTTGTCAATACAAAAGGCATTCTATCGCTGCACAAATTTGTTATCACTGCACTTTAAAAGTAGGTATGTCGCACCAGGCATTAATTTAAGGAATTTTCATTACTGCACAAAACAGCCTAAAACGCAGGTTTTTGGGACCAATAGGGTGTGGTTAAGGGTGTGGCTAAGTTTTGACTGGACCTCTTTTGGACGGACCAACAATGTTTAACATTGTTTTCAGGGACATTTTCAGTGTAATTTGGCCTAACTACAGCTGCCACTGATTATGTATAAATCTTACCAGAACACATCAATTTGATTCTATTATCTTATTTGACTCTTGATTATAGTTTGTATTCATTTGTCTTTATTCTAAAAACATCCAAATCAGTAATATTTGGAGTATTTCTAAAGTGAAGTAATTCACCACTGCACATTTTTGATTCATCACTGCACAAATTGGTCATCACTGCACCTTAAATTAATCCTTGTGTCGCACGTTAAACGTTTAAACAATTATCTGACGAAAGCCCGAAATTCCCGACGAGAACGCTGATTGGTGAGGGCTTCCTGAGACTCCCCAATGCTCGCCATAATTGCCGCCACTGGCCACATATCTTTTTTGCCTCTAACGGATAAAAGTAATGAAATATTTACCTCTGACACTGTTATCGGTGTGACTGGTGCTGGTGTTACAGATCTCCTTCTACGTGAAGTTTTCTTTTCGGTAACAACAAACTGTACAAAGATTTTTGACATAGTATTAACCATTTCCGGGCGTGCGTTCTTCTTTGTCATTCCCTTGAAACAGGATTTAACTGAAATTGCGACGATCAACTTCTGTGAACTTGTTTTCACACTGATTGTATTTCTACTAACCTAAAAATAAAAAACGTTTCTTATTAGTAATTTTGACCACTAAATAGTTGAAAGATAGAATTTTACGAAAACCAATGTAAAGATACAAAAAAAGCTTTGAATGTTTCATGTCAAACCCTCAATAGCCCTTTGCAAGATTTGATAGAAATCACTTCCACGGAAGAACATTAATGGCACTACAGAAACACCATGTCCCATCCAGTAAATTAAATTAGTTGATTGAAAAGGATATTTTGGATATAATTGAATGTAAAAAGCGAAGTATTGAAACACGATATAGGAAAATTATTAAGACGGGAAAATGTTTTGCTATTTTTTTCTTACCACTGCAAGAGCGGTTGATTGAGCTTGTCGTTTTTCTTCGGCTTCCTTACTGTTTTCATCAGCGATTACATCACTTGATTCGATCAGAATCGTTATTTGGTCTGAGAAACAACGATGAAAAAAGCTAAATTAATGCAAGTATAAACAAAGCAAAGAGAGAAACAACAATATAAAAATTATGAATCATTGTTATTATTATCATCATCAAAAATAACTAAAGGTGAGAAACTATAAGAAATGTTATTATGGATCAGAATTTAGAAATCTGTAATCGAAAAACAATATTCAAACAAAAAATTTGTTATTAACACTAGCTAGAAAAGATTTATAATCAGCGGACATTTAGCCAATGAAACGTTTAAAATCCATCCAATGAAAATAAACTTCTTGAATCACGTAGCTCTGATAGAAATCGTATTTGTGGAGAAAAACTGTAAGAAGGGAAGAGTCTTATTTTTGCAAGGGAAGTAAAGAGCTTTTATCAATATGATATATTATTAAAAGAGCTATTTACATGCTGCAACAGTGATGTCAATAGATGCTGTGTCAGCTATGATTGAAACCTGTGCTGTGACCTCAGAGGGCGGGATTGCACGCTTGCTGACGTTGATTGTGAACTCAAGACGTACACTGTCCCCGTTTTTGTCCATCACCTTGACATATGCAGTCAGTATTCCTAAATTTAATTAAATCAATTAAAACTAAAGAAGTAATAATAATTTACAGCTAAATTGTTCCCAAACTTTCCTCGCACGTATCTTTTAGAATCTATTCAATAAAATATGTTGATCTGCAAGGCACACCCTTTACATCCCAGAATTCCTTTCTTTATGGTGGTCCTAGCTTTCTTCCTTTCCTACAATAGGTGTGAATTTTTTTTTAAAAAATGAGTCAAATCTTTGTGTTTGAAAACATTTCAGCAGCATGTCCCTCAAAAATATGCTTCAATACGAAATATGCAATAGGCTTGCTTTTCAAACGTAATGTTCGTACTTCCCTTTCTATCACTTTCGTTTTCCCTTTTTAACAAAGAAACTTGTTTTTTACTAATTTTTAAGAATACTAAAGCGATATTTGCAAGCTGAGAAAGATGCACACTCTCTCTCTCTACCAGTGAAAAAAATAACGAAACAACTCGGAGACAGCGTTCAGCTACTTTGATACCAATCAAATTGAGCAAACTAGGGGGACGGAAGGCGTAGGGTGCACATTTGCCAATTTCTTAAAATCTTGCAGGCTCCCCAGAGAGTTTCTCGTACATATTAGTAGCATGGTCATTTGATTATTTTGAAAAAATGATGCAATGCGATGATGGCTGCAGGTGGGCAAAAAGTAAAATATGTTTGCCTAAAATTTGGATTTTTATCACATGGCACAATCAGAGTCCTGGAGTACTCAACAGCGACCTTTGTTTCTTACAAAAAAATGAGTGCATCCAGAGCTCATTCTAAGATGTCATTGGCAGTATTAATCTTGTCTCCCCCAAAACCTAGTGTCTCGCGACGCCAGTCGACTCTGTAAAATTTTTTTCCCAAAACCTTCCTCCATTCTTCTATTGTGTTTCAAATCTTCCTCCGGTCAATGACCGTGCGACCGCAATATTTTCTGGGCTCTGGTCACAATCCATTTTTGAAAAAATCGAGCTATTCCAGGAGATTTGGAGCCCTACAAACACTAGGGGCCCTTGGCACTGTGCCCATCGTGCCCCGTTGTTAATACAGCACTGATACAACTATATTCCTCGTTAAACGTTTCTATTGAAAGCTTATTCTGGTTGTTTTCCATATTCACAAAACACATTAGAATAAACACTTTTTAGATTTTCGAAGTTCTTCATAGCTAAACATGAAGATACTAACCTGGCATGGACTTATAATCTGATAACTGACTATCTTCTCCAGCATCATTTATTGCATTTTCCTTACCACTTTCGTCAAGGAAACCAAAAATGTATTTCAAAGGCTTGTCCGGAGCATCATCATTGCAGTATGAAGCTTCAAATGTGAACAGTGTTTGAAGAGTAATGCCACTGCTAGGGCTGACTGCGAAAACACCTTTGTGATGAAGAAAAGGGCAGGTTTAATCATATGATAAAGAGTTAAAATTTAATACAGTGGCCGTAGCATTATTAACAAAGGAAGTTGGACTGAATCGGATTTACACATTTGCTGAGAATGGATTGAAGACTCTATTAGAATAGCAACGCATAACTTACAAGACGAAGGCGGTGAATTGGTTGTGATGTTCTGGACCGCTGAGCCGCATACCGTTGAATCTCCTACCTTGCCACAAGCGGTAAGGTTGAAGGAAAGCGTTGCTCCTGGCGGCAGCTTGAATGCTGCGATGGCGAGTGTAGTAACAATTGTGGCCCCTATTTTTATTTTTTTGGTCGCTTTGGTTTCGCTTTTCTTAACTTTCGACGCCTCTAAATCAAACCCAGCACACTCTGAAATGTAGAGGTTTTAACAGATTATTTTATTTGAAAAATGTCTGCTTTGAGAAGCCTTTCACACTAAGAAGGTCAATTTTGGTCCAGTTATGTCAAGTGAAAAATATATTAGCAAGGATATCATGAGTCGTGAAAAAAGTATTGTATTCTGACCAAATTTTGCATCAAAAATTTATTGCATTTATTAAAATATAGAAAACCCCTATTCAAAAGATGTAGACAGGTTTTGAAAAAGCAGCAACAAGTCAAAACAAGAAACAAAAAGATAGTGAAAATAATTATGGAAAAAGAAAACAAAGGAGTGAAAATTATAACAACCTTGACAGTGCCAGTAGTAGGTGATATCTCCCGCAAAATTTTTGGAAACGATTTTCGCCTTGATAGAAAACAACACAGAAGTAGGGACCTTCTTTGTACTGCTCGTTTTGAGGTAAACCAAGGGTCGACTTTTTTTCTCAGTTTTCAATCTTTTGCTCGATATTGCAACCCGTAGACCTTTCTTGTATGTAAGCACCACAGTATAGCTGAAAAAGGGAAAATAGTTCTCTTGAATAAAGCCAGTTTGTAACTGGGCAACGTAAATGAAACAAAATTTTGAAAACTCTAAGCTAGGCAATATAGGCCAATTGTGAATCTTTTCCGGTATGTTAATATTACAGTATGAAAAAGGGGAAATTTATCACTTGGATAAAACATGCTAGAAACAATTTATGTAATTTCCTGTATGTAAACACCACAGTATAGCTGAAAAGGGAAAATAGTTCGCTTGAATAAAGCCAGTTTAAAAATAACTAAGCAAAAGAGATGATAACTGCGCACGCGCTCACTCGGCTTGCTCGACAAGGTGGCCAAACGACTCGACTTGTCTCTCGATTTCTTGTTGAGTAAAAATCGAGTAAAGAATCGAGTTAAAAATCGATTCGTTTGGCTGGGGCTTAACCAGTACCACGACAAAAAGACATCGAAGTTCTTTAGCTTGAATCCATTCCACAATCCATTCGATTGGATTCAAGCGAATATATAGTGGGTTTGTCTAAATTATCAGTGGCGGAGCCACGGGGGGGGGGGGGGGGGGGGTTGGTGGTGGAAATGGGGGGGGAATAGTCCCCCCCACTTTTTCAGAAAGTTGGTCCTTAAGATTCTTGCAAACCCGATGAGAAAACCTCAGGGGGGGGTATGTTCGTTATCTAGATCGTCACATGTAAAGGACATTTCTTGGGAGACAACAGTTGTTTCCTCCGGAAGAGAAAATTCAAACAGGGGAATGGACCTGGTCCAAAGGACGTGGTCCCTGACAAACTTTTTGTCCCCCCACTTATCCCAGGCTGGAGCCGCCACTGTAAATTATGGATTTGTAACCTTTGTATTGTCTAATTAAATCGGAATTTTACGATGTAACAATGAATTCTCCAATGGATTCAAGCTAAAGAACTACTCTGTCTTTTTTGTCGTGTACTGGTTTTATGTTTCATTATCAAGCTGTGCTTCCCAAAGTCTGAATCTATCAACCAGGATATTTTCTAAGTGTTTGGTACGTATATTTTGACGGGACCAGGCATGACCGCATCTGAAATTAAGTTGTTAAGTATAACCGTAGTATGTTATCAATATGATAGTAATTGATTATAAACATTGTTATGAGTATAATTTTGACTTTTCTTCATTTGTCAATTGGTTCAATTTTAATCCGTTTTGGAAGCTAGATTTTAACGAATTTGCTGATTATTCGCCTCAAAGTAATATCTAGTATAACGTTCGTGATAAAGATTTCGTAGATAGCTAAAAATCAACTCACATTTTATCACCTTCAAGGAAGGTGTTAATCTGAACCTTGTGACGTATACACCCAGTATATATCACTGGCTTAGATGTGCCATCTACTTTACGGTAAACTGATGCTGTGCCAATTTTGAATTCTATCTGACAGTGTTGGGTTTCTGCCGTTTGATCAGGGTCAGATGATTCAAAAAGATTGAACACCACAATGTCGTCGATGCCAACGGAAGAGGGCACTGTGTATGAAAAGGCAAAGAATGTTAGGTAAATTTTCATGCAGTATTTGTTAGAGAGACGAGCAAGAAAAAGTTTTAAACGAGAATTGTTTTAAGCGACATTCCATCCTGGCTTCAAAGAGCATGCGCAAAGAATGTAATTATTATTACGCAGGCTCTCGGACTCCAGGGCGAAAGGTTGCCCCATTCATTTGAAGATTTTCGCTCGCTTGTCTCCCTGACAAGTACAACCAAATCAATTTAGCTTATCAGTTCATTTGATATCATCACAGGTTCTAATTAGGTCATCACGAGCTTGCTCAATGCAAAATGAATCTGCTAAAATGGGTCGATCAAATTCAATCGATAATAAGAAAAAGACATGAACAGCAAAATCAACAATATTTACAACATCAACAATTAACAATTAACAACAGCAATATTTAGCATTACATTAAATGTAGGCCAAAGTTTTAGATAAAGTGACAATTTACTTATAAGACGCGCTACAAGAGGTGATGCAACAGTAAGAATAGTTATTGTTGCAGTCGCTGTGGAGTAGGGATCCGTGGCCAAGGCGGCAGTAACAGTGAATTGATATCTCTGCAAAGGAATTAAACAAGAATAAGTTATGTGGACTTAATCAACTCTGTAAATTATTTGCCAAATTCACTGTCGAAAATGGTTTTAAAAACATACCAGATATAGACAATTTGCTATCGGCTGGTGTTGGGAAAAGATTGAGAGAAATTCTTATACGCGAGCATGTTACATCAAATGGTCAAACGTAGTAGGTGTATCGGCAGACGTAATTTTTGTTTAAGATTGAATTGATTGTTAGTTATGAGGAGGTTACTTTTAAAAGAACTTCTCCTAAAACAAGCATATTTAAGACAAGTTCTTTGAGTGTGGGTGCTAGGAGTAGTAGTATCTTGGCTCCTATGATGCAGGGGCGTCACCAAAGGGGGTTAAGGGAGCGCTTTGTCTGTCGGCTCAAAAAGCATTCTCGCCCTGTATTATGGATGGGGTTATGGGTCTTCGCACATTTATTGGGACGTCTTGGCCTTGTCTGGAGCTCTGTCCTGTGTGGTGGGGGAGGGGGGGGTGTAAATATCATTTTTATTAACATTATTCTTAGTGCACGATTAAGGGTACAGTTACAGTGGTACAACCTTCTCCTATATTGATTGCTCATTTTTCATATTGTGGGTAAGTTGGTGAATCTGTAATCTTAGATTTATTTAGATATATTTGTATTTGAATGAAGAAACTTGGAACTTGGTTTGTAAAGTGTCAGGCATACAATACGGTAAGAGCAATGTATAATTTCTGTGGTAGACTAATTTCTGTGGTAGTGTGGTAGATCAGTTTCTAGAGACGTATTATCCATTCAAGACAATCATAAGCGCTGAAGAATTACTTCAGTACCATTGGTATGTTGGAAATTATTGAATTAAATTGCAGTAGCCTGAAATTTCAGTCAAATTATGATATAGTACTTCAAAGAAATCCAGATAAACCGTCCAAAAATACAATGCCTATTAAAGTGCTCTTGAAGATTAAAACATTTATTTTGAAGCATTTCATGAGCAAGGATTCTTACCAAACCAGGTTTCATGGTCCTAGGTGCAAGATAAAGGTTCCTTGCGTTAGGAAGACTAATCGTTGATCCATTGCTACTGTACCAATTGTACAAGATTTTGCTTTCTACGCCACAGCTGGCATCAATCGTCGCTTTCACTAAAAAGAAAGAAATGCTCTTTCATTTTCATATCATTGAAGGAGGGTTGCCCTTCAGAAAAAACTGGGTTCTAAGAGGTCCTCCATTTAATTCATCATCTGTTATAAAAAACAACATTTGTGTGTAATCATTCAATAACAAAAAAAGGATAATAACAGCTATTCATTCATTCTATCATTTAGACCCTGTTTACACGAGTCCTGGACCAGATCAAAAAATATCCAGATACTTGGGGATATGTAAACAGATCCGACCTGGTCGATCTGGACCAGATCTCGCAATTTGCATGGGATCCGGTCTAGATCGGATCCATTCCATTCGGTCCGCATCGGATCGGAGAGGGATCCCGAGAGGGTTCGGATAGCGGATCCAACAGTTTACGGATATACGAGATCCCGTGTAAACGCAAGGCCTGGGATCCACCTTCGTGTAAACGGGGTCTTAACGGTAGCATTGAATGGCGGAAAAACGTCGTCCTACATTCATCAGAAAAAGTCGGATGTTGACTAAAGGTAAGATGATCGAAAGTAACGTATTTTCATTTAGGTGTTTTTTTAAATCTGTCTACATAAAAAAATATCTTGACCGGTGAAAAAGGAAACAGTTTCTTATCTCTCTTGGATTTTCCAACTAGATGATTGCTGGTTAATGGTTGCTGATTGGTCAAAGCAACGAACCAATCAATAGCACCATTCTTCCGCTCACGTTACTTTCAACCTGCCTTTGGATATGAAGTTCTGCATACATTTGGTCACTATCCGACATTAATACACCCATTCTACCATATATGAAATAATGCCCATAATCTGGTTTCACTTTTGCCTATTAAAAATGCTTTACTATATAACTGTTGCTACTTTCAGTAACTGCCATGCTTCAAATGTGTGCTGTG